GGTGGAGCGGGGCTTGTGTCCCCAGCTCGTGCAGGCCCGCGGTGGGGTGGGACGGGGGGGGTCAAGCATCTTACCCCAGGGACCTGAGAGCAAGAGGGTTCTTCTGATCCCAGGAGTATCTGCAGCGATCGCTGGCCGGGTCAGCGTCCCGTGGCTGGTCACGCCCCAGCCACGGTGCAAAACGAGAGAAATCACAAAAGCAGTTGGCTGAGATTCATTCTCATTTGTACAAGTTACAGGGACTCTGCTGGCTTGGGATCAAGGGAACTTGAAAGGGAAGAGAAGTCTCCAGTATCGTTTCTTGCACACTGACCACTCTGCAATTTGTATTAATGAAAAGTACTATAAAAGTGCTATGTTTAAAAATAAACTAGTTCCTTATCAGCTTGTACTGAGCATCCACCTAAAACGTGGGTAGGGAGTGTATGGAGTTTGCCCTGGATGTGTTAAATCTTTTAAAGCAGCAGCACACTGATCAGTCTTGTTTTGGAACAGGTGAAGGGAGAGGAAGAAGAGGATAACACCTTGGAAGTGAGAGAGACTAAAGTTAAGGGCAAAAGGTGAGTGTCACCCTCTAAGGTCAGTACCTGGAGTTGTGCATCTGGGTTCTACCATCCTCAGGGTGGAGCAGCAATACTAGCCCAGCCCCACATATCTGGAGATCCTTTGTTCCTGAGAAGATCCACTCTGTACTCAGGCTGCATCCTGAGAGAAGCATTGTAGCTACAGTCATGCTCTCGCCCATTGCTCCCTTTTGAGACCCAAAATGATTGTCAGTGGTGATTACAGAGAGATTGTAAGTGCTCTTTGGCTGTGTCACCAAAGCCCTGCTCTTAATCTGTGATGTGGGGAGTACCACAGTGCGCTGGATACTGCGGCCCAGCGTGGGCTGGTGCCCGCTGCAGGGAGAGAGGATGCTCTGTCTTTTGCCAGAGGCTCTGCACTGTCAAGCTTGGGATATTGTGTGTGTGCTGTAAGACTGGGCAGGCAGGTGTGTTCTGAGCCATGAGAGCTGAGAAATAAAGGGTGCTTGTAAAGTGGGTCAGAAGCACGGTGCTGCTGGGTTTCAAAGGGCAGTAGCTGTGGAGTTAAATTGCCAAGGTGGACCAGAGTTTCTGACATAGCTGCAGGCCAAGTGATCCTGCTCTTGGGCCACGAGGCATGATTTGAAGTCTGTTCTCTTCTGTCATTACCTTGGTGCATCCTTACAGGTTTGGTGAAACCTCATATCTTTCAGTCAAAATCTCATATCTTTCAGTCAAAAACCATGCTCACGTTCTGTCCCTTCCTTAGTTTCAGATCCTGTGGGCAAAAAACTGAGAATGAACAGACTTTGTGGGAACAGGTGCTTAAGATGTTTGTGATTTGTCTTCTCGACATTTGCACATGCTTCCTTTGATTCAAATAATTCTTGTCATCTGTAGAAGAGTGAAAAAAACCCTGCTGAAGCGTGCTTTATAAATGTAGAACTAGGGAATGGGGTGTGCCACTGTCCCCCTTCCAACGTGGGACCTGTGTGTCTTTGTGAAGCAAAGGCTGTAATTGTGCCAAGACAGAGCTCGCCCGCTGTGGCCTCCTGTCCTGCTTCCCCGGTCCAGAGTAAGCACACGCTCTGGGACGAGACATCTGTGTGCCTTGGAGGAGCAAATAAAACATTGGCCCCAGTCACACACGCTGTGTGTGTGTGATATATGGGCTCCCATCCACAGAGGATGATGCAGGGGTTGGATCTGATTGCTCTCTCAGGGGAGATCTTGCATGACTTACCTGTTCTTCTCCCTTCCAGTGGAAAATTCTTCTCCGTGAAGCTGCCATCTCCTCTGGCACCAGGAGCCAAGGTCCGTGTATCCGTTGAAATGGTTTTCACGCACGTCCTGCAGCCTTACCCCACCCATATCACCCAAAGTGAGAAGCAGTTTGTGGTCTTTGAAGGAAATCACTATTTCTACTCACCATACTTCACCAAGACCCAAACAACCCGGGTCAAACTGGCCTCCAGGAACGTAGAGAGTTACACCAAGCTGGGCAACCCTTCCCGCACTGAAGACATGATTGAATATGGTCCCTTCAAGGATGTTCCTCCATACAGCCAGGTAAATGTCTGTGCAAAGAGGTTGTGGCTCTGCAGAGAGCATCTTGCAAACATGGCACCTGTGTCACAGAGGCTGGAGAGTGGGAAGTGGAGGCTTTCATGTAAGAATCGCAGGTCAAGCCTGAGTTAGCGTGTGTGCAGGCCAGGAACATCTGCTCCAGCAAGGTGCTCCTGGTACAGATGTGGTTGTTGACCATTCCTTGGTGTCCACAGAGCAAACCAAGCAAGTTTGTGCACAGTTCTGGTGGGGCTGTATTTGCATTTGGGAAGACTGCATCCCCCCCTTATTGTTATAACTCTGTCAGGCGTGACCTGCGAGCACACCACAGGTGCCCAGTGCCCTGTGTGAACTGGGCTGGGGTGGCTTAAACCTTCTTGTGCAGACAGCTTCACCTCTCTGCAGAGTCTTTCATGGAGGTTTCTCTGTAGGACACAGAGACAGATAATTGTGAGGGGGAGTCTAATAGTTCATCTTTTCTCCTTGTTAGGACACTCTGAAGGTGCACTATGAAAATAACAGTCCATTCCTGACCATCACCAGTATGACCCGGGTCATCGAGGTGTCTCACTGGGGAAACATTGCAGTTGAAGAGACGGTTGATTTGAAGCACACAGGAGCAGTGCTGAAAGGGCCTTTCTCCAGATATGACTACCAGAGACAGCCAGACAGTGGGATCTCTTCTGTCAAGTCTTTTAAGGTTGACATTTTGCCTCTTTTTTTTTTTTTTAAGCTGTGGCTTCCCCCATTCTTCCATCCTTTTCCCCATCAGAGGGGAAAAAATACAGTTGTCCTTTGCCTTTTTTTTGGTAACCATACCCAAGTAATAAGGGAGTATTAAAACTCTGATCTATTTTCAGAGAAGGCTCATGCTAAATAGGAATGGCTTTTGGAGGTACAATTAGGAGGTTATACACTTCATTGCATCTGTTTTGCCAAACAAACTGCGTATACCAGGGCATGTAAAGTTTCTGTATGCTCCCAGCCCTCCGATCTCAGCGACCCTCTAAAATCCTTAATCCCTGTGCTGACAGCTCTGATTTCCATTTTCCACTGTGCAAGGGTCATTCATTCTGTCCCCACCCTCTTATTTTCAGAGTTGCCTTCTCTGTCACATCCTCATCATGTCAAACAGTACTAATTGGAAACTCACCCATTCATTTCTCGCTTACAAAGCACTCGACAAGAGTTAAAGCTGTGGTTCTGCTAGCCAGATGTGAAAAGTATTTTGTGTTTTCATCTGAACCAAAACCTTTCTCGCTGCTTGAAGCCTCTAGGATTGATTGTTGTAATTCTCTAAGGTGGTGCAGTCAAACAGAAATCTCATTTTGCTGAGCCTAAAGCCAGCAAGCTCAGTGAGCTAGGGCAGTGGGCTGGAGTGAAAAGGGAATTGCTGTCCTGGTGGGCATGATGAGATCCCTTGCTGCCTGGGATATTTGAAACTGGGCTGGAGAAAGCACATTCATTTAGAGGCCAAGTGATTTTCATGCTGGCAGTCACTTCTGTGGATGATTGCATATAATAGCACAATTTTACCACTCAGTGCAGCTGAATGGCTGTTTTGTCATCTGTCCTGGGAGCGCAGGTTCTCCATGCTTAGCAGCCATTATTGGTTTTGCCAATTTCACTGGAAATAACTCCCAGCCCTGCGCTGGCTGTTGCTTCTCTCCCTACAGACCATTCTCCCAGCTGCTGCTCAGGACGTCTATTACAGAGATGAAATCGGAAACATCTCCACCAGCCACCTCCTTGTCCTGGATGACTCCGTGGAGATGGAGATCCGTCCTCGCTTCCCGCTTTTTGGGGGATGGAAAACCCATTATATCATTGGCTATAACCTGCCAAGCTACGAATATCTCTACAATCTCGGTGGGTGGCACAGGGGAAAGGGAATAAAATCCTTCTTCTCTGTGTTTCAAGGTGGTTGCTGTACAGTAAAGAATTCAAAGCTCTGGTACTCTGCACCTTAGCAACAAGACTCACTAGCTATTTCTAGAATATGCAAATCCACCTTCTTTTCTCTGCTTCCTTCAGGTTTTTGTAGACATCTGGTTACAATATAATTGAGTGAGTGAGTGAGTGCCCCCTGCTGCACAATGGATCCCTCTGAATTCTGCTCTTGCTTCTGTTAGGAGCTTTGCCCCTTGTTCTTTGAGGAATTGTAACCACCCTCTGGTCTGCACTTTCTTAGGGGATCAGTATGCCTTGAAAATGAGGTTTGTCGACCACGTGTTTGATGAGCAAGTTACCGACTCTCTGACTGTCAAGATCATCCTGCCAGAAGGTGCCAAGTAAGTGTCATTACTCCTGGCTTCTTACTGCAGATGATGCTGTGTTGGTGGCAGTGCTCTGGCTTGCTGTTATGGCCTGAGGACAGTGAAACAAAACCATGACTGTGCATGTGGAGGAGACCGTGGAACACAGCTTTGCTTCCTTTTAGTGTTTAAAGTGCATAATTGGCCTTGTGCTAGAGGCCACGGTTGGCCAGCCAAGTCCTAGGTTACATCATCTCAAACACTGTAGAGTCATATGGGACTGTCTGGCTTTCTTTACAGGAATATCCATGTGGACAGCCCCTATGAAATCAGTCGTGCTTCAGACGAGCTTCACTACACTTATCTGGACACTTTTGGACGTCCAGTTATCGTGGCACACAAGAGCAACCTGGTGGAGCAGCACATCCAAGACATTGTGGTAAGTCTGACCTCTCTGTATGGTTTGCCTGAGCAGTTGCACCTCCTCTGCATTCAGTAGCACAGTCAAAATACCTGTATCAGATTCCAGAAATAGATACTTGAGGGACTCATGGCCAGTTCGGCCACTCCCTGAGGAGAGGAGTTCTCTCCCATAGTAACATGGGTCACTCCTCAGTGTTTCGACCTTCTCTCCTAGATTCATTACACCTTCAACAAAATCTTGATGCTGCAGGAGCCTCTGCTGGTGGTTGGAGCTTTTTACATCTTGTTCTTCACTGTGATCGTCTACGTGAGGCTGGATTTCTCCATCACTAAGGTGCTGTATGATGAAGAGTCCTGTGGGATCATTAGTGGCTTACTCAGCTGATGGTTGGAGATTTTTTTCATAACAGTAACTCTCACTG